CTTCAGTGTGATTGTTGGTAATCTTACATTCGGCTCATTAAACTCTTCTGTCTGCTGACTGAAGACGTAGAATGAGATTTAAGGCACTTACCTTGTAAGCTCCCATCCTGATTTCCCCAGCTTGGAGTGTGTGAGCAATTATTTCAGCCACTGTGGCAGTACTCAGGGGCCCTCCCAGGCAGTACCTGTGATGCTTGGAGGACTTGATGGTGCCAGTGATGGAACCTGCCCTAACCACTCTACCCTGCCCTGCCCATCAGTCTGTTCTTAATCCCTGAAAATACTGAATTATAAATTAAAAAACTAATTTCTCCAGGCAATTTTAGTAATTGGCTCTTAGTGGTGGTGGGCTTGGCAATGCCAAGAACCTTTTCCTGGGTTTGGTTCAGGAGTAACATCTGGGCGGTGCTAGAGATCCAACTAGGACCAGTTACATATATGGCCAGCATTTTGCCTTCTGGAGTGTACGTCTGGCCCTATCTAATTGATTTGGTTTTGAGTCCCGACAGTGCTCGGGAATGACCTCTGGCAGTGCTCGGGAGACCAGATGCTGTGTCTGGGATCCAACCAGAGTTGACTGCATGCAAAGCGAATGCCTTACCGGTTGTCCTCTCTCTCCAGACCCTCCGTTTGAGTCATTAAAAGGGCTATTATTACCAGGTTGGGAACTGGAATGGATTTTTAGTGCCATTTCCAAGTTTGACTATTGAGTCTACGGTTTAAAGAACCGCCTTTTGCTAAGTGATTATACTGTGATTAAATGCCCTCTATGGACATTACTTATAATCAAAAAAAGTTTATACAAACAGGCCTAAACTTTAAAGATATCTTATCAAATTGCATAAACCTTTAACTGGAATCATTATATTTACCTATATAGTTACATTTGCAGAAAATAATAATTCAGGAGAAAATTTTAAGAATTAGTTCTTCAGTTTCTGTTCACAATAAAACAAATGTGCACTTAAGGTAGATGAAAGGAAAAATCCCCGTTAGCAAATTACTACAAATGCCAGCATCATTTATAGACTTTTCCCTGGATGACAAGAAAAAAATTGAATAAAAAAGAAACAACAAATTCACTTCAACAACAAAAAACTGGTTTGGGGCTGGAGAGAAAATACAGTGGGAAGGACGCTTGCCTTGCCTAGGACTAACCCAGGTTTGATCCGGCACCGATTATGGTCCCCCCAGCCCTGCTAAGCGTGATTCCTAAACACAGAGCCAGAAATAACTCCTGAGCATGGCTGAGCGTACAAAAAGAAAAAAAATTGCCTTACCTCTTCGGCCCTCTCCACCTGAGGTATCTACACCGTTGGCCTTGCCTCCCTGACCCGTATCCACCCGCATGAGCACTCATTTCTGAGAATGCATCTCCCACTCTGGGAGACGGCCCACACAGTCCATTCTTCACTTTGTCCATATCTGCAGAGGTCTGTGTTCTCTTCAGAGCATTCATCCCCGCCTCCTTCCCTCCCTATACTTCCTGCAGAAGCTTGTTTTACTTAAGATACTCTTAAAGTGATACAATTTTCAGACTTAAATCCAACTGAAATCTTGATTTTGTAGAACCATTGAAGTCAAGTTACTCAGAGCACCTAAAATGCTAAATAAATTGGAGGAGAAAGCAATTACTTATCTATCAGAAAATTAAAAAGCTCAAAATGCCTACATGAGGTGTAGAAATCTTTGGTCGTGAATTCCTCTGTGATCATGTATTAGGCAAATAATCTGCCACATGCTACAGTCTTAATAGTAGCACTTAGTAGCACTGTCCTCCCATTGTTCATCGAGTTGCTCGAGCTGGCATAGTAATATTTCCATTGTGAGACTTGTTGTTACTGTGTTTGGCATATCGAATATGTCATGGGGAGCTTGCCAGGCTTTGCCCTGTGGGAGAGATACTCTTGGTAGCTTGCTGATGGGCTCTCCGAGAGGGGCGGAGGAATCGAACCCGGCTCAGCCAGGCGCAAGGCAAAAGCCCTACCGCTGTGCTATCACAGTCTTAATAAGTAATCTTATGATTATTTTTTTTAAGGTATGGCTGCATAAAGTGAAGTGAAGCTTTTTTTGTGCATTGAACAGAAATCTGCTTCCTTAGTCTGTTTTTCAGATTGCCTTCCAAGCTGCCCACAGGAAGGCAGTTTTGAGTCTTAGATGCTTAGTTCGAGATAGGTAAGGTAAGGTAAAGGCCCTCCCGTTGATCATCGATTTGCTCGAGCGGGCCCAGTAACGTCTCCATTGGAGACTTGGTTGTTACTGTGTCTGGCATATCGAATACTCTCGGTAGCTTGCCGGGCTCTCCGAGAGGGGCGGAGGAATCGAACTCGGTTCGGCCATGTTGGCCGCTTGTAAGGCGAACGCTCTACCCGCTGTGCTATCGCTCCAGCATGGGTAATAAACACAACTATTTGTCCCATACTGAAGCACTGACTGAATATTAGAATGAAAGTAGACATTAAAGAAAAAAAAATGACGACAGGAGGAAGCCATAAAGGAATAGTCTTTGCTCTTATTTAACTCCTTCTGGGGCTACTAAGAACAAATCTGAGGATTTACCAAAACTTGCATGCAAGAGATGAGGGGAGAAGGTGAAGACAGACTGGCAGAGACAGTTCTGGGGTTGGGGAACCGCAGTGACTCGTGAGATCTGAAGGTAATTATTGTCAGTGAGCCTGAGGTTTTGGTCACTGAATTCTTTTAGAGCTTTTCAGTAAGGCAGAGATAAACTGGAGAGGCAAAGTTAGACAATAATATTCATTATTCCTTTTTTGTTTTCTGGGACAAAGCTGTGTGGTAGTTAGGATTTACTTCCATCTCCATGCTCAGGGATCACTGTGTGTGGTTCGCCCATTGCTCCATGCAGTGCCAGGAATGTAACCTGGGTCAGCCGCAGGCCAGGCAAATACCTTCCCACTGTACCATCTCTCTGGCCAACAAGATCAGTATCATAAGCCAAGGCCAGCAGATTGTTATGATGCAACATAAGAGAAGATTAAATAACGGACGAATTTTGGATTTTATGACCAAAAAAAAAAAAAGAATACTTTCTCCCCATTCCTGGTGATGAGGGGTACTCAGGTGCAGTAAACTAGGAACAAATACTCTGAAGCAATTGCAGAAAATAAAGAGAAAAAAGTGCCATGTGCCTTAGAATGTTTGTAAAGTATATCAAATGCAGAGGGTGCCATCTAGGCCTGGATAGAAAGGAGACTTCAAGAGCAGTTTTAGAGAACAGAGCAGTAGGACAGTGGATAGGGTGCTTTCCTTGCGTGAAGCCTATTCAGATTTGATCCACAGTATCCCATATGGTCCCCCAAGCCCACCAGGAGTGATCTCTGAACCCAGAACCAGGAGGAAGCCCTGAGCACTGCTGGGTGTGGCCCCCAAACAAAACAAACAAAAAACAAGAAACATTTCTTGGTCAATGGTCAATGAAATAATGCTGGAAATCAAGATATATCATTATGAAATTAGATCAAGATGGGATTCTACTGTGTTTCAGTGTTTTCTTCTGGGGAAGGTTAATAATTTCTATAACCAGTGATTAAAACAACATTTATTTTAAACATACTTTATTATATATATACTTAAATTAACAGTTTGGTAAATTCACATATAGACCACCCACTCTGGTATAGTCTTTCTCAAATAATTTGTTTTCAAAGTCACACTAAAGTCTGCACTGAATTCTCCTACTCTTTCTTTTGCTCATTCTTTATTTGTTCTCTTACTCTCTCTCACTTTCTCTCTCTCTCTCTCTCTCTCTCTCATGAAACAGCCGTTCCAACTAAACTTGGTAAGAAGGCCACCAATTCTACAGAATATTTTAAAATTAACTGTCATATGTTTAGAGACAATCCCTAATTTGGAATGATATGAAAATTACATCTAATATCTTAATCTAGTTTGAAAAAATATCTAAAATTTTTAGTACATTTATTTATACTGTAAAGTTGAGGACCTTCATTTAGTTATTAACAAACTTCAAAAGAATATATACACAGTTTTTACTTTAATACAGAGTATAGAAAACATTTCTTTTCAAAGAAATCCAATCTATACATTACCTGAAATGTAAATCAGCAGTTTTTATTCTACAATTCTTTCATCCTTTAAACTGCTCAAAAGAAACATACTCTCTTAGAAGGCAGAATCATCTTAGTGAGAACAAGAATTAGTTGATATTCTTTGATTGGATTAAAGATGATTAAACAACTAAGCCAATGCACTTGTAATATTAATACCAAAGCCCAGCATTTATATATATGTGTGTGTGTGTGTGTATGTATACATATATATACATACATACATACATTTATAAAATAATTCACTATTATAGTTTATATATCACTAAAGAAAATAGAGGTGGTACTAATTGAAACCCTGAAATTTCTTATTGACACTTAAATTTGGTCAACCTTGTGCAAGACAAGTGCCCTACCTGCTGTACTATTACTCTCGCCTCCAAAAAAACTGAATCTAAAATCGTTTTAGTGTACAATTTAAATGTCTGGGAAAAATACACTGCTTTTAGAAAAAAAATTGTGAAAGAGGTAGTGAAAAAATAAATAAGTGAAATAAGTGCTTAAGGGAAGCTAACAATGACCAGAAAAGGTAAAAATTAAACAACTCTTATTTATACATGGAGTAATAACAAGGTAGGATTCTGATGTCTTATTTACTTTTCATTTCATATAATAGAGTATAAATAATTCTACTACCTAAATATATTTCTACCTAAAAAGGACAAATTTGTGAATTTTGATTCATTACTCTAAGTCTTTCATGGATAGAGGACTTTAAAAATCAGAATATCAAAGCCTATGGTTTTATTCTCGTACTATTCTAAATTCAAGATTAAACTAGATTCAATGTAGTTTTACATAAAATGTACTTTGTATTTTGTTCTTGTGAGATGCTAATTTATGTATAGTGTAACTTCTTAGAAGAAGGAACATTTTATTTATTTATGAGGAAAATACCTTTTTTTTAATTAACTATTCTGCTTAACGAATTTACTATAGGGCTCTGGAACTGGAATAGTTTCAGAATGCCTAAGAACTCGAAGTCTTTAGAAAAGACTTGAAAACCAGGGGTCCCTGTACTTATTAAACTGAATCACTTGGCAGTAAAATTCAGTTAATGCTCTCGGCATTGATGAAACTTCTTCCCATTCAGATCTGCTGCTGTGGTAGACCTGTACTTCATCTGTGATTTCATCTGGTGCATAATCACCACCTAATATGTAAATTTTGTCTTCAATTCCAACTGCTCCTGCATTAAAGCCTGCACATTCAAAAGACCCTTCACCCTTCCAAACACAAGTATCTGGACAGAAACTGTAAACCTTATAGGTGGACAGGTCACATATGTACAATGTGCAGTTGACCGGGACAGCCTTTATTAATGTTGCATGAAAGAACTGTCCAAACTCGGCCACCAGTTCAGACCACTGGTCAGTTGTAGCATTATATTTGAAAAAGCAATCCAGTGATGGGTTGAAGGCGTCTGTGATTTCCACCTCTGACCCCAGAACATAAATTATGTTTTGACAGGCGCTTGCTTCAGGATAGTAGATCCCTCTGGGTAAGGGGCTCACCGACACCCATTCTTTGGAAAGAGGGTTGTATGATTCGACATCTAAGAGACTTTTAATGTCCTGTGAGCCTCTAGTTTTCCCACCGATGACAAACAACCTATTGAGTGCCATGACTGACGTGTGCATGGTTCTGGGTGTTTTCATGGTTGATACTAAGAAGAACTCGTTTTTGATGGGACAGTAGCACCAGGCTTGGTCCGTGGCATCATGGTACGACTCTGCAATATGAAGTCGCACTGTCCTGCAGCACGATCCCTTGCAGCCACCCGTCAAGAATATTTTCTCTCCATAACTAGACAGACTCGATCCTGGAAGGTCAACCAGGTGAGGTTGGGGCAGAATTTTCCATGAGTCGTTTTTAATATTATAGCAAAAGGTATATTGCCTTTCTCCATTTTCTTCAGTTTTGTGAACAAATATGTATTTTTCAGTAGTGGATGGTCGAGCATCAGGGAAAAGTCCACTGGAATTCTGCACAGACTTAATGGCATCCACAATTATGTCAAAACAGTTTGTGCTTCGGAGTAAATGCTCTTCCTTGAGCAACCATTCTTGAAGTGTCTCCTCAGATAACTGATGTAATCTCACTTTTTTAATCAAATGAGGCAGATGCTTTTGCCTGGATTCTAAGTTATGTTTAGTCCAACTAAGGACAACTTTTAGTACAGTTTCTTCTTCAGGAACATTTAATTCATCTGATTCCAGACATTTTTGCAATACTCCAAAATTCATCTCTAAGAAGTCATTTGATTTAAATAATAAAGAAAAGTGGTGTTGTACAAAATGCAATGCATGATCAAACAGACGCGCAGAGCCATAGCTATCTGATATAGATAATAACTGCAAGCAATTGACAAGATTAATGCTTTTTATTAAAAAGTCACTGCAAGCTTTGGATAGAAAAGAAACTTGAAGAAATGATGACAGCTGGAAGAACATTTCTACATTATCATCTGTTAGCTTTGTTTTTCCAGTATAAGCATAATCAAGAAATGCTTTCACTGCTTTGGAAGATAAATTAGTAATAGTAACACTTCCACCATCTCTTTCTTTCATATTTACTTCAAACATAGCCCTGGAAAGTAAGAAACATAGAAGAACAAGTAAACAGGAATAGTTTTTTCTTTTCTCTTTGTTTTCTTTTTCTTTTTTAAATTTTTTAAAAAAATTATTAGAACACTATGATTTACAAAGTTATTCATAATGCAGTTGCTTTATGTGTAAAATATTCCATCGCCAATCTGCTCACCAATGTGACCAAAATCCCCAGTTACCCTCCCACCTGGCAGACAGTCCCCTTCGCAGGCACATGACAAATTTACTTCATATTGCTTGCTTAGGAATAGTTTTTTCAATAAGGTAAAGGTAAAGGCCCTCCCGTTGATCGTCGATTTGCTCGAGCGGGCCCAGTAACGTCTCCATTGGAGACTTTGTTGTTACTGTGTCTGGCATATCGAATACTCTCGGTAGCTTGCCGGGCTCTCCGAGAGGGGCGGAGGAATCGAACTCGGGTCGGCCATGTTGGCCGCTTGTAAGGCGAATGCCCTACCCGCTGTGCTATCGCTCCAGCCAATAATTTTCAATCTGAAAAATTTCCCTTGACCCTTAGGATATCCATTAATAAGCATCCTAATAATTTTTTTTGGTTTTTTTTGGGTCACACCCAAGGATGCTCAAGGGTGAGTTACCACTGGCTCTATACTCAGGAATTACTTCTGGCAGTGTTTGGGGGACCATACGAAATGGTGGTGATTGAACCTGGATCTACTGCATGCAAGGCAAATGCCCTCTCTCCTATACTATTGCTGTAGTCCATTCTAATCATTTTAGTACCTATAGTTACATATCTTTTCATTTATCTAGAACATATTATGTATGCTCACATTGAAAAAATGTAATAGAGCTTTAGTAACTAAAAAAACACTAAAAAATTCAGAAAATAAAAATATTTTAGTTATAAAAATAATGAAATTACCCACATTATCAAGTCTGAGACATAAATGGATGAAGTACCTGAAAAAATCACTGCACGCTGCTAACACACAGCGATGGCATGGGATGATTTCATCTTTCATGATTATTTTAAAATCATAAAAGACATTTTGCTCTCTAAAATTCTGTAGTACACTTAAAATTTTCTGTCCATGATCTTCTGATACAAGAAAGTTGTTTTCCTTCTCAGATGTGATTCCATTCCATGAGCTTTGCTGATCAAAATCATGAGATTCATCCATAGTCAATTCCATCTGATCTTGGAACTGAAATGGAAAAAAAAAATCACTGATGTAGTAAAATCCTAATTAAATGTTCAAACTCCAAAAATTGTCATTAGTGACAATTAACACAAAGATGTTGAATAATTATAATCCTAACAAACTTTGAAACATGTTTTCATGACTTTTAATAATAAATTCCTATTGATTTTCATAATGCTGAGCTCACTGGAGTAAGAAGTATGTTATTAAAGGATAATTGTTCAAGACTACATAATTATGTTAAATAACACAATTAATAGGTTGCATAAATAGCTTATTTACAATTTTAGCACATGACGACCTATGTATGTAAGTGGTGTTAGTTATGCAGCAGTTAGCATTTGGGGATAGATCCAACAAAACATTGTTAGCTAATAGCAAAGCAGACTTCAGTCCTGATCTTAAAGCTGCAGCATGTGCATTCTGATAATCGATTTTTCAGAGAAAACTGACTGAGGCGTCAGGGATGTGGTGGAGACACGGAGCTAACATCTAACGTGGGAAGACCTGAGTTCAACTCCTGGAAACACATGGTTTTCCGAATACCATACTATACTCCTCCTCTGAGCATTGTCACAGTCCTGCTCCCCAGTACTGCTGGGTGTGACCCCCTACTAACCACATGAGAGAAGTGACTGAAAATGGCAAGAGTGTTAGATGGTATTAATAAGTGGTCACCTTTTTTTTTTCTTGGACATATCTGTAATCTCTCTTTTTTAAACTTTTTATTGAATTACTGTGAGACAGACCCTAACAAAGCTGTTCATTCATTATAATTTCATTCATAAGTGTTCCAACACCCATCTCTCCACCAGTGTACATTTCCCAGCACCAGTGTCCTCAAGTTCCCTTCCATTACCCCCAACCCCCACTGATTCTCTCTCTCTCTCTCTCTCTTTCTCTCTCTTTCTCTTTTCCCTCTCTCTCTGTCGTGCATTATGATTGTTGCAACTAACTACAAGTGTTTGTGAGGCTGAGGGTACATAAGATAGAGAAGAGACCAGTATGACTGATCACGCTGGACAAGATCTGGGTGTTAAAAGTAGGTAAAGGGATATTCTTGATAACCTTTCAGTATCAATGGTAAAAACCATAGTGGTCACCTTTTTAAGGGATGAAAGGAGAAACGTGAGCATTGGTCCACGTCGATGGACTCAAAAGCAGGAAGGAAACAGCATATGACTTTATATTAAGAAGGGTCTTTTAAAAAAAGAGAGAAGAAATCCAAGAGAGTTGAAGGTCAGATAATCATGTAACTCAATTACAAATTTAGTCCCAAGCATATGAGTTGGAACCAACAAACACAAGAAATGGGAAGCAAGCAAGAAAAATGATCTGGGAGTGAGTGGGGCCAAAGGAATAGAAAGCCTCAGTCTTCTGTGGTGCACCACTTCTGTTCTGATTTGTGGTGTGCTAACCACCCCAAAAGTTACAAGCAGCTTTAAATAACAATCTGTATCTCCTGAGTTTGTGGGTTTAACTGGAGCTTGCTTGAGGTTTTATTCATATGGCCAGAGTCAGAGGCCATCTGGCTGCAGCATGTGAAGTTCTATGTGAATCAAGCATCCTGGTTCAGATTTCTGGTGTTTCAGGGCTGGCGAGAGAGTATCATGGGTAAGTCCCGTGCCTTGCATGCAGCCAACCAGGGTTCAAACCCTGACACCTCATATGATCCTTGAAGAATCACCAGGAGTGATCCCTGAGCACAGAGCCAGGAGTAATTCCTGGTACCACCAGGTGTAGCCTAATCCCCACCTCCCCAAATAAAAAAACAAAAACAAAAAAAAACTATGATAAACAGATATACAAAAATTCTCAACAGAGCCTTAGCAAACTGAATTCATCAACACATTAAAAGACTCAGCCCATTACCATGTGGGCTCATTTCTGGGACCGAGGGTACTCAACATAGGTAAATCTAAAACGAGACATCACCTTAATAAAAATATAAAAATTACGTGATCAAGAAAAGTTATTTTTAAATGCGACAGTATACAACTTGTATTTATGATAAAAAAAAGTTTTCTCAACCAATTGGATATTGAAAGAACACACCTCAGCATAATAAAGAACTATAAGATAAGATTATATAGCTAGTATTATATTCATCATTGGAAAACTGAAATTTCTTCCCTCTAATCAGGGCTATGGTTATATTGTCCACTCACACCACTCCTATTCAACATAAAACTGAAGTCTGAGCCAAAGAGTCCAGCAGGAAAAACCAAGGCATATAATATAAAAAGGAAGAGGTAAAATGGTCTCCATTTACAGGTGAAATGACTGGTTACATAGAAAATCTGAAAAACTCCACCAAAAAAACTATTAGAGTTCAACAAATTCAGTCAAGGTACAGTGCACCTTGCATACGAATAGCATATGAATATCATTAATGTGCCTCAGTAATAACAATGAACTACCTAGAAAAAAGAAAGGAAAATATTACTATAAAATCAAGAAAAACAAATTAGAAATAGATTTAAAAGAGATGATAGATCTCTATACTGAAAACTGTGACAATGCTGAAAGAAGTTGAAAAATACAAATAAATGGAAATAGATCTATGCATGTATATTATTCATGGGAATGAATACTGTACATTTTTTAAATGTAAAAAATGAAAGCCATCTACTATTGAAAGTCATCAATAGACTAAGTGCATATATATCAAGATTTCTATGGCACTTTTGGGACAGAAATAATAAAAATAATCAAATTTAATACGAACCCACAAAAGACATCAAACAGCCAAAGTAATCCTGAGAAAGAACAAAAATATTGGAGAGTCAGGGCTGGAGTGAGAGTACAGCAGGGGTAGGTGCTTGCCTGGCACACACTAATAGGTCTCCTGAGCCTGCCAAGAGTGATCCCTGAACACCACTGGGTATGGCACAAAACAAACAAAAGAGACTCTGGATGCTTTTACACATCCTGTTTCAAGCTATATTACAATGCTGCAATAAGAATAATATAGTATTGCCTTAAAAGGCAAAGACATACAAAAATGCAACAGAATAATCAGCCTGAATTAAACCTTCACATATATGGCCAACTAGTATTTGATCAAGAAATCAGGGTAACTAACAGGCATGAACAAGCTGATTTAAAAAAAAAGAACCATCTGTAAAGAAAGAACCAACTCCCCTTTCTTATAGCACCATGGAAATGAACAGAAAATAGATTAAAGACTTAAATTCAATCAGGTGAGAAAAAAAAGGAAAAAATTTCCCTGACATTGGTCTTGGAAATAATATTTTGGATGTGATGCATAAAGCATCACAACAAAAGTAAATATAAACAGGTGAGCTGAAATAAAAAGCTCTGCACAGCAAAAGACCAACAATGTGACAAGTGCCATAAATCAGAGGGAGAAACACAAATGCCAGATGATCTTACTCATCTATGGCACAAACAGAAATCAAGCAAGGGGACAGACAGGAGCTAACGATGATCAACCCTTGGGCTTCACTACAGAGCTGAGTTCAGCAAGCGGTTGGGGAGAGATGGCTGGAAGGAAGAGGCCCACTCAGAGCGCCTCAGTAGAGAGCTGGACGCTCTCTACTATTTTGGTGGTGGTGGAAGTGCAGTAACTTTATGCATAAAGCCACCAACCATGCTACCACAACTACCAACATAAAGCAAGAATCAAAACACCACCATAAGCCTTGAAATAAACATCAGGTATAAAATCATCACATTTTACAAAACAAAGCATTTTTCACATCCTACCCTCCAAAAAAGGAGGGGGGGGGGAATGAAAATAAAGGCAGCTTATATAATGGGAGAAAACATTTGATAAACCTCATATCTTAAAATAGAATAAAATTCAAAATAAAGGGGCTGGAGCGGTAGCACAGCGGGTAGGGCGTTTGCCTTGCAAGTGGCAAACCCAGATTCTATTCATATGGTCCCCTGAGCAATGCCAGGGGTAATTCCTGAGTGCAGAGCCAGGAGTAACCCCTGTGCAGTGCCGGGTGTGACCCAAAAAGTAAAATTCAAAATAAATAAGGGACTCATAATGCAATACCACAAATGCCAATCTAATTTTTAAGATGGGAAGAATAGACAATTTTCCAAGAAAGGTGCATGAAAAGGTATTCAACATCAGTAATCATCAGAGAAACACAAAGGAAAACTCAAGCTGTCAGCACACCTGTTAGAAAGGATATTAAATAAAGAGAGTACATTGATAAGGGTATGGAGGGAGAGAAGCTCTGTACAGTACTGGGGGTGGGGCGGGGCAGATACAGTGGTTTCCATTATGGAAAACAGCATGGGGACTTTTCAAAACTAAAAATAAAATCAGGCTGGAGAGATAGTACAGCGGGTGCTTGCCTTGCATACTGCCAACTTGGGTGAGCCCAGCTACCCTATACAGTTCCTCGAGCCCGGCCAGGAGTGATCCCTGACCACAGTTGGTCTGTACTGCATCCCCCTCCTCCCAAATGAAAACAGAACTGTTGTAAGATCCAGTAATTCTAATTGTGGGTATTCATCTGAGGACATAAAATCACTCCCTCAGAATTACCTGCATCCTTGTGTTTACTGTCATTATTTACAATAGCTGCAACATGGGCACAATCTAAATGTTCATCTGTGAGTGGACTTTAAAATGTGAGTTGTCACTCAGCCTTAGCCTTAAAAAACAATGACAGACACTCCACAGTGTGAAAATTTCCAAGTGGTGAAGAGAAGTATCAGACAGTAAAAACAGGCATTTTTCTTTCTTAGCAGCACATAAAATTAGGATGAATTTGACAAGATTCCTTATTGGTGTCTATGAAATACTTTCATTGCTCAAGACAGCAAATCAATTTTCAAACTACTGTTCTTTATTTTAATGCTCTCCATTAAAGTCTATTTAAGTAATTAAATCAATAAAAGCACAGGAGTCGAGCATAAGAGCCAAGTCTGATATAAAGGTAAAAAAAAAAGCAACCCAAAAAACAAAAACAAAAAAAAGTCCGTGTCACTTTACATAAATTAGAGTTATTAAACTTGAACAGTGCTCTGAGTGATCTCGGCTTTGATTGCAGCCAGTCTTCCAGTGATTTCAGCCTGATCAACTGATGTTTCAAAACAGAGCAAGATCTTTTTCTTTGAATAGATTTTTCTCTTCAGTATTAATTATAAAGAGTGCTAATTATATGGTAGTACTACATTAAGCACTTTGGAGACTGTAGAGAAGAAGCCACGTGCCCTGATTTCTGTAAAAGAGAAGACTAGCATTTAAAATATCTAGAAATATTGTAAAGAACCAACTCAAAAATGGAACTAAAAGGGACGGGGGCGTAGTGAGCGCCAGCTAAGAGAAGAGTAGGCCCTGCCGAGTGCTTCCTCGGGCTTCTTAACCGAGGACGGTATGCCAAGCCAGCAATTCATCTCACGACCGTTTTGCATATTTGTATCAAATTCTTACATCCTTGGAAAGTTCTGGAAGGCTCATACACAAGCCAGAGTTATTGAAAATATAGCATAACACCCCCCTTTTTGGGTTTTTCGGCCGTACCCAGCAATGCTCAGGGGTCATTCTGGCTCTGCACTCAGGAATTATACCTGGTGGGCTCGGAGGGACCTTAGGGGATGCTGGGGATAGAAGAGGAGGCAGTTGTGTGCAGGGCAGATGCCCTGCCCGCTGCACTGTCGCTCCGGCCCCAGAATAGGAACCACGGGTGGAAATGCTCAGCTGGTAACTAACTGGCAATTGGGCACTCTCTGGGAGCCAGAGAAATGAACCCGCTAATCTCACCCGACGGCATTTAATAAGCCGCTGAGACCACCGCCCCGCCCCGCCCCGCCCCCCGGACCAAGAGGCAGAAGGGACAGAAGGCGGCGAGGGCTTTCCTCGAAGTGTCTGTCACCTACAGCCACAAGCAGCAACTCCGGGAACAGACATCAGTGCGGTCCTCCGCCGAGGCGGAGTCCAGTCCGGAGGGCAGCAGAACTTATGGCCTGGGTTCCGCTGCGTTCGAGCAGGGGGTCTGGCCTCCCGGGGGCCCCCAGACCACAGGCAGAGCCCTGCTTGCTCCCGGGGGCCCTAGGCCAGGTGGGGTAGCTGCAGAACGTCGGGGGCCGCAATAAAGGTCAGCATCGACTCAGATGCCAGGATGCCGGCCGGGTCTGGGCGGGCCTTAGGGTCCGGGTTCGGGGTGGGCGGCCGCTAGGTGTAGGGTGTCGAGCGCCAGGGTGTCCAGGACTCCCAGGGGCTGGGGGTCAGGGAAGAAGGCAAGTAGGGGCCGCGGTAGAGCACGAGTCCAGGGGCATCCTGCAGCCCCCTCCCGGCGGCCGGACGCCAGGGAGCAGCAGCCCACGGAGCCAATGCGTTCCTCTTCCCCGCGGCCCGTCGGGGCCGACCCCGAGGCCCGGGAACGCGGCGCCACCAGCCCACTCCTCCGCGGACCCTGGAGCTCACCCACCTGCAACTGCAGTCTCCGAAGTCTCCGCCCCAGAGTCCCTGCCTCCAGAGGGCGGGAGCCGATTGGCTGGCGCCCCTGTCCCGTCAGCGCGTCTCGGAGTGTGAGTGGCGTGGGCGGCACGCGGCTCCGCCCCCGAGCCCCACCCCGACCCCGCGCGGGCCACGCCCACCGACGTCCCACGCTGCCGCAGAGCGCAGGGGCGGGCCGTCTCCGACTCCGCCCCCAGCCCCAGCCGCTCCCCTCGGCGGCGGCGGCGCGGCCGAGGCGGGTCACGTGGCCGCGCGGCGCCCCGCCCCTTCCGCGCGGCGCCCCGCCCCTTCCGCGCGGAAGGGGCGGGGCCGGGCTCGGCGTCGGCGCCATCGGGCCCTGCGGTGCGGCGCGCTCGGTGCATGGTGTCCGCGGCCCCGCGCTCCTGCCTGCTGCCGGCCATGGAGGGCGTGCGCTGGGCCTTCTCGTGCGGCACCTGGCTGCCCAGCCGCGCGGACTGGCTGCTGGCCGTGCGCTCCATCCAGCCCGAGGAGAAGGAGCGCATCGGCCAGTTCGTCTTCGCCCGCGACGCCAAGGCTGCTATGGTACTCGGCGTGGGGGGGGCGCGGGGGGCGCTCGGCGGCCTTTGTCGCCGCGGCGGGGGCGGGGGGCGGGGCGGCCGGATCCCCGGGCGCTGACTGTCCCCGTGCGTCCGTCTGAGGGTCCCGCCGGACCCCCGGGCGCCGCGATTCCCCCCCGTGCTTCCGTTCCGAGGGTCCCCTTCGGGCCCCCGAGCTGGACTGTTGCCGTGTGTCCCTTCCGAGAGTCCCGGCAGTCCGCGAGCTGGACTGTCCCCGTGCGTCCCTTCCGAGGGTCCCGCCCTCGCGTGTCGGTTCCCAGGCCCCGGGCCTTTGTGGGGCGCAGCGCCCAGGCCCCGGGCCACCTCGCCCCGTCCCTCCCGCCCCGCTCAGGAGACCCCCGCTCAGGAGACCGTGTCGCCTACGATCTGCTTCAGTCATTTGTGGGTGGGGTTTTTTTTTTATTTGCCTATTTTTGTTTGCTTTTGCAAGAAATGGAAACATTGCATTCCAAATATGATCGTGTGTCACGGTCTCAGCCCTTATTTCGGCCAGCCCAAATATTTCAGCCCACACTGTCCAACCCTATCTAGGGTTGAAGTGTGGGCAGGCGGAGTATTTTCCAAGGCACGTGGATGAACGTTTGGGGGGCATTTGTAACCAGAAAATTCGTGAAAATCGAGTTCTTGCAGGTTTGAAGACTCGTTGGAATCGAAGCCATGAAAGATCCTTTGCAGAGTGTGTTTTGTCATTGCCTGCTCTTCATTTTTTGGGTCTGTGATTTTAGTAAATCAGTAGTGAAGAGAGACTGTGGAACAGGACTCGGCATCACCGGCCTGAAGTTGAGAATGTGGCACCAAGTTGTAGGCACCCAGGGTGACCCAGCAGAGAATTAAAGGCACCTTAAAACCTCTGGTCAGAGAAGGGCCCCCCTTGGCTGTCTAAAATATCCTGCAGTTAACCTGCTCCTGCCAGTCCATAAACACTTGCACCTTTAGAAGTTTACATAGTAGAATTGCAAGTGGCAAAACCATATGCCCGTCAACATTTAGAGGCTTGTACTGAAAAGCTGGGAGAGGGTGCCTACTTACTGATGAGCAGTTGAGGGGAGATCATTAGTAAGGGGGAGCTTTTTATGTTAATAAACATTGCTTAAATCGGGCCCGGAGTGATAGTACAGCGGATAGGGCGTTTACCTTGCATGGGGCCCACCCTGTTTACATCCCCGGCATCCCTTATGGTCCCCCAAGCACCGCCAGGAGTAATTCCTGAGTGCAGAGCCAGGAGGAACCGCTGGGTGTGACCCGAAAAGCAAAAAGAAAGAAAAATAAATTGCTTAAATCTTACTGCAATTCTTGGATACTTAAAAATTAAACTCATTTTTGTTTTTAAACTTCGGGATGGACTTGTTGCCTTACTGGTAGTACTATACCTAAATAACGAGTAGATAACCAATACTTGCCCAATGTTTCATTTGCTTGACAGGCTGGTCGTCTGATGATAAGGAAATTAGTTGCAGAGAAATTAAATATTCCTTGGAATAATATTCGTTTGCAAAGAACTGCCAAGGGGAAACCAGTTCTTGCAAAAGACTCCTTGCATTCTTACCCCAATTTCAACTTCAACATCTCTCACCAAGGGGACTATGCCGTGCTCGCTGCGGAACCTGAGCTCCAAGTTGGCATTGATATCATGAAGACCAGTTTCCCAGGTGATTGCCTTTCTGTGCACCTCACGGTGTCTTGGCTTAGCTCTTACCTGTTGCTTAATTGGGGAATAGCATGCTCAGTGCTCAAACAAAGTATGTCTGAGAGCATGTATCTGTAAGAGGTGGGTTTCTTTGCATTTTAACGGACTACTTGCATAAAAAATGGATTTTCCTATGCCGGAGGCAACATAAGTTTTACCTGGAGGCAAAGTGAAAATACAAGAGACATGCTTTTTGAATTGTACCTCGGCTTGTTCATGAAGTTGAAAGTTGAAATATACAGTTTTTCAAAGCTCAGTTTACCTACTTAATACTAGATCTTAATTGGAATTGGGCTCAATGGAGAGTTCATTTTAAATCGTACTTTATTTTTTTTAAAAAAACACTGTAATTCTGTTGTAATTTCTTTTAAATATTTTCCAGAAGTTCAGTAGTAAGTTTTAGTTTATTTAAAAATTAATCTTGGTGCTAGAGTCTACCGTGGTCTTCAGGTGGAGATAACATGTATTTCTGCCTAAAAGAGACCTTTTTGTAGCACAGTTAGATGAGTAAAAATAATTGAATATTTGTTTAGATTTTGCCGTAAAACTGTGTAATTGGTTGGCCATGAAACTGCTGCAGCTGTGGGGGCTGAGTGTCCCTAAACTGATGTTGATATGTGATCCGCGGGATCCCTGTACTCCTTGCCAGTTTCCACCCTCACTCATGTTTAGTGAGCATCTACTTTGTGATTTAGCATTTTACATGCATGCTCTAATTGTCTCAGCACCCTGCTGTAAATATGCTGTTTTTAATCATTTGATGAGAAAGCCCTTAGTAAGAACCAGCCCCTTCCTCATTTCCTGCAGAATCTCCACACTGCCTGTTGTTGCTGGCTTGTTGTTGGCTTCCCGTGTCTTATCACTGAAGGGCTACGAAGTGCTGAGAGGAGAAGGAGGAGATCTCAGAGTGGGGCTGGGTTGGAGTCCCCTCTCTCACTTCTGCTGTCTGACTTCCTGTTGTTTTTCTCCATCAGTTAATCTTTCTCTGTCCTGCTTGTGAACCTGTTGCAGTTCTAGAGTCAGAAAGAGGCTCTACTTGTGATGCTCTCCTCAGGTTCATAGTAACTCACTGGGAGATCTGGACACAGAGTGGGAGTAGGATGGAGGTTTGTTACATCCATGTGGGTGGTCCAAGGATCACAAGGGCCCTGGGCCTCAACCCTTTTGGCCCCTGATCAAAAAACCGAGGTCGTGCTGTTTAGACAGTAGTACAAGATTATCTGCAGGCTAATTGTCCGTAGATTAAATAAAACATTTTACCACAAATCCTGGTGAAATCCAAGGGAATAGGACATGGTTACAGCCACATGTCAAGTCAACGACAGTTTCCATTGCTCAGGGTTAGAATATACATATGCTGCTGTTACACGCAAATAATCCAGATGTGAGGTGGACAATACTTAGGTTACATGTTTCCTCTTGAACCCTGGATAAGCCACTCATCCCCTGCCCCGCACATGTGGAGGTTGCTCTTCACTAGTTCCACACTTTAGCATCTAACAGTGATGATAACGGGGATCTTAGACTGAATAAGCAAGGGGAGGGGGGCAGATTTGGGGTTTTGGTTGCTAGGCCACCCTGGCTATGCTCAGGGCTTCCTGCTGGCTCTGGTGGGTGTTGCCTCATCAAACCAGGGCAGGCAGTCACCTGCTTGCAGGGCATGTGCCCAGCCACTGTATTCTCTCGCACTCTCTCTGACCCTGCGGGAGTTTTTTAGCCTTTACGCTGTACTGCATTCTGCATGAATGTGCTTATGCGTATTTTTCTCAGGAGAGGATCTGGTTTTCGGCAGGATCAAGGAAGCTTACATGGGGAAAACACTGCTTGAAAAACTTGGGCAAGAGCCCTTATTCTTCCGCAATAGTATGTTTTCTTTACATGAACTCCTAAACCCAGAGAGGGTTTAGGAGAGGGCGTTGCATTATAACATGAACCTTCCTGGTGTGCCTGACTGAAACCCCACATGTGCTCGGGGAGCCCGGGGGGTTCGTTCAGTGATACTTGAGTGGCCAGCCAGGCTGGTGGTTCAGAGCAAGTGCCCAAGGCTGTGGTCTGGGGCTTCCCGGGTCTCTGCCTTCGCCCCGTCTGTTTCCAGCCCTTTGGAACCTGCTGGAGTCTTGCCACCCTTTGCACTCCGAATCCCTATTTGAAACCATGGTTTTGTTAGCAAGGGCTCTGGACCCCCTCTCCATTGGGCTTGAAGAGTCTTCGATCGTCTGAGGATTTGAGTGTAGCTGTAGCTGTTCTTGAGCAACTTCTATGTGTGACAGTATGATAAAGACTCAACCTTGCTCTGTGACTTAAGCCTAGGATTTAACTACTGATATGATTGTAGTTGAGGACACTTCCTTAAGGTGATTTGGCAAAAATAATGGTCATGGTCACAGTCCTCCCGTTGTTCATCGATTTGCTAGAGCGGGCCCAGTAACGTCTCCATCATCAGACTTGTTGTTACTGTGTTTGGCATATCGAATACATCACGGGTAGCTTGCCAGGCTCTGCCATGCGGGCGAGATACTCTCAGTAGCTTGCCGGGCTCTCCGAGAGGGGCGGAGGAATCGAACTCGGGTCGGCCATGTTGGCTGCTTGTAAGGCAAACGCCCTACCGTTGTGCTATCGCTCCAGCCCTAGCGGCAAAAACCAAACAAAAATACCCCAGGGGTTTGATTTCATGCTTCAAATGTTAATTTTTTTTTTAAGTAGGATTTTTAAAATTCTGTGGGTCCAGAGAGATACTGCAGGGGTTAAGGTGCCTCCTACCTTTGCACACCCCTGAGCTGGGTCAGTCCTGGCACCTGGCAGGTGGTCCGTCCAGCATGTGGTTACAGCCCTGAGCATACCAATTGGAATCTAGTGCCCTCTGCACTCAGGGCTGTGGCTTGGGAACATAGGCTTAGTTGTCTGAGAATCACTGGGGTGGACCCCGGACCCCCCGTGCACACTGCTTGGAGGACATCCCCCCACCCCCCATCAAATTCTGTGAAACTAGTTGACTTAATCTTGTTTTGGAGGAACTTGGGTTCAAGAAGAGGATTAAAAATATAGAGGCCAGAGACATAGTGCGAATGTTAAGGTGCTGTGCCAGGGTTGCATCCCTGGCACACATAAACAACAAAAGGAGAGGGAACTTTGGTAAATTAGAGGTAAATGAGATGGTATTAAAAGAGTAGACACCTGTTAAGAGCGTCAGAGCCTATCATTTATATGTAACACTGAAATTCAGTGGATAGAGACTAGTTTTTTTTAATGATAAGGCTTATCAAGTATTTGAATTATCTCATAAAAAAAGCACTTTACATGATTATAAGTGACGTTATTTACCAAATTTTAGTTTCCCATCCTATTTGTCTTTTGAGTGTTTTTTTTTTCCCTCTAGCACTGTAGCACTGTCCTCCCGTTGTGGGCACTAGTAACATCTCACAACAAATTGTGAGACTTGTTACTGTTTTTGGCATATCAGATACATCACGGGTAGCTTGCCAGGCTTTGCCATGTGGGCCAGATACTCTTAGTAGCTTGTCGGGCTCTCTGAGAGGGGCGGAGGAATCGAACTCAGATGGGCCACTTGCAAGGCAAACGCCCTACCCGATGTGCTATCGCTCCAGCCCAATTTTATCTTTTATTTAGATGTGTATTTTCTTTAAATTCTGAATTCTATCTGTTAAAATTGAACTGGTGAAAAAAAATCCATCATGGATGGAGAAGAGTTCAGTGGGCTAAGTGCATGCTTTACTAAGTGCAGAGGTCCCCAGGTTGATCTCTGGCACTGGATAGTCCTGGAACTCTGCCAGGTGTGACCCACAGACAAACCTACTCTAAAACCACACATAGAGACCACATCCCCTAATTCTAGGTTCTAAAGTCTGCTAGTCTAGTTTTAAATCATAAAAAAATTGCAATTGAATATTGAACTCCTGAATTTGGATATATAGTTTATTTTTGCATTCCGATCACTAAACACTTCGACCCTGTAGAACAGATAGATTAAGGAATAAAGCCCCTAAAACTATTAATAATCACTTAATCACTTAAGTGATTTTAATCACTTAATCCCCGTTATTCATCGATTTACTCGAGCGGGTGCCAGTAACGTCTCCATTCATCCGGGTTGCATGCTAGCGTAGCCCAATGGCATCTCTTCGTTCTAGGAACATGCAGAGCCTCAAACCGATCATTCAGGGTCTTGACAAAGAAGTCTGACCATCTTGTAGGTGGGCGTCCACGCGATCTTTTGATGTCCCGTGGAATCCAATCAGTAATGGCTCTAGTCCAGCGGTTGTCTGTAAACTTCATTACGTGTCCAGCCCATCTGATTTTTGATGCCTTGGCAAATGAGACAGCTTCCCTGATTTTTTGAGCGTTGACGAAGATCAGAACTCCGGATTCTATCTCTGATTTGAGTGAATCGTGATATTCCAAACATAGCTCTTTCGATTCCTCTTTGAGAGACCCGAATAGCGTTCTCATCCTGTTTTCGTAGGGCCCAGGTCTCTGAGGCATATGTTAATGCAGGAAGAACAGTGGAATCGAAGAGATGTGCTTGTAGCTGGAGATTCTTTTTCCTCTTAGTTATTTCTTCAAGGCTGTTGAAGGCATTCCAAGTCGCTCTCTTCCTCCTGCACAACTCAGGTGCCAGGTCATTCATCATGTTGATTTCTCGACCTAGGTATATATAACTGTTGCATTCGTTGAGAGCGAATGGAGCGTCAGGAACAAGGCTGTTTCTCATAAACATTGTCTGCGTAAGATTCAGCTGTAGTCCAACCTTTCCACATTCACGGTCGAAGTCACTCAGCATTTGTGCCACTTGGCTGATGTTTGGTGTTATTAGAACGATGTCATCAGCAAAGTGGAGGTGGTGTAGTTGCCGACCATCTATCTTCACTCCCATGCTTTCCCATGCCAGTCGTCGCATGATGTTCTTGAGGGTGGCACTGAAGAGTTTTGGTGAGATGGTATCACCCTGCCGAACCCCTCTCTCGACATGGATGATTACTTCTTTGTAGAATGGTGAGATCCTGGTAGTGAATTCGTAATAGAGCATACGAAGGATCCTGATGTATTGAGTTTGTACGCCCTGATTGGCTATGGCTTCTATGACTGCTTCCATCTCAACAGAATCAAAGGCCTTCTTTAAATCAATGAACGTTAGACAGAGTGGCATCTTGAACTCCTGAGAAACCTCAATGAGCTTAGTAATCGTGTGGATATGGTCGATGGTACTGAATCCTTTTCGGAATCCGGCTTAGTCACATGGTTGTCCTTCATCTAGTGTTCTGCTAATCCTATTCAGGATGACTCTAGTGAACAGTTTGTAGATGACAGACAATAGGCAGATTGGGTGATAGTTGCCAATGTCATGGATGCCTCCCTTCTTGTATAGTAGTACAGTCCTGCTGGTTTTCCATTGGGATGGAACCTTGCATTCAGACAGGTAATGTGTGAAGAGCCGAGCCAGTGTATTGATGAGTACTGATGGTAAGTTCTTCAGGTGTTCAGGTCTGATCTTGTCTGGGCCAGGTGCTCTGTTTCTTTACCGACGAGATGGCATGTTGGATTTCGGAAGGGAGAACATTGGGAACGACATATCCATCATGTGGAATGTGGTATGTGGGCAAGTGGACGTGGCTATTAAAGAGATCTGAGTAGAAGTCATGAATAATCTTCTCCATTGCCCTTCTGGAAGATGTGATAGATCCATCATGATGTCGGAGGGCAGTCATCTTGGTTTGTAGTTGGTGAAGGACAGGCGGTCATTACGAATGCTTTTCCCAGCTTCTGCCGCATCTACCAGCACTGCTACTGCTCCTGTTTTTTAGGTCATCCTTGATGGCTTCTCTGCATTGTTTTGCCAGCTCGGACGTTCGCTTGTGGTTGCCTGAGGCATGTGCCAAGCCACGTTGGCGAATAAGTTCAAGAGTGTTCGAAGAAAGGCGGTTTTTTGTGGTTATTTGTCTCTTGGCATTCCTCGCACAATCATGGAGGTGCTGAATCATTCGATCGTATTCCTCATCAGTGTTGTCAATGACAGCATCTTCCCATGTTGCTGCAACAGAGCCAAAGAGCTCCCAGTTGGTGGTCGTTCTGGGAGTCCTCTTCTTAAACTTTGCATTCTTTTCTCCTCGTTCTGTGAGCTAGAATTTTGCACGAAGGAGACGGTGGTCTGATCCCATTTGGAATTTTGGGACAACAGCAACATCGGTTAGGCAAAACCGCCGATTGAATATGATGTGGTCTATTTCATTGTGGAACCATCCACCGGGAGATTCCCATGTCCAACGTTTAGATTCAGCCTTTTGGAACTGTGAGTTACCATGGAAGGTCTTGGTTGACATGATGAACTCAGTCTGTCACCCAGTTTGTTCCATTCTGGGCCATGGGTCCCGCTGTGGAGTTCATCGGCTGATCTTCTTGGTCCTATCTTGGCATTAAAATCACCGACAATGATCTTGTAGAAGGTGTGATCTTCTTTATAGAACTTCTCCAGCTCCATGTAGAACTTCTGTGGTTCCTTTGCCAGTTCTTATATGCGTGAGGCTCATCCAAGTGTGTGGAGACTGGTCCCAGGATGGCCTTGGCTGGGGCCTGGAGGTCTTCAGCTGTTGGGCCCTGGCTGGGGCCTGGAGGTCTTCAGCTGTTGGGCCCTGGCTGGGGCCTGGAGGTCTTCAGCTGTTGGGCCCTGGTGAGGACAGTCAGGCAAAGGGTAGGAGACTCTGCCTTGTGCTCTCCCGGGAGCTTGGTGTGATAATCTCTGGATCCTGGCCGTTGTTGGGGTTACACGGCAGTTGGTGGGTGTAACTGTCTAGCTACTGACAGGTCCAGTCCCAAACTGTGCAGGCTTGGAGATATCAGCTTAAATACACTTAATAATTGTTAGCTGCAGGATGTATGCGCGTGCGCACACACATACACAGTTACAAAAACAGAATGTTGATACCAAATTTAGCAGGAACACTTTTCCTTGATGACAGTCCTTATCTATTGGATCAGTATTTCTGATCTTACGATCAGGGTTGCTATATTTAGCAGCTTTTCCAATTATTAGACACTGATGTTTCAGAAGCACTGTATTAGGTATGATGTGCAGAGCCAACAATCAGCAAGGGGAAAAATTGCTGCCAACGCACTTCTTTTTGGGCGAAATTATCCAAAACCCATTAGATCTTTGTCTATACGGTAAAATTAATGAGTTAGGCTTAGAGCCCTTGCACAATAGAATTGCTCATTTGATGAGACACCGGAAAATGGGTGTTTTCTAGTAAAATTCGGGAATATATTTGTGTCAGGTATGATGGTAATATTGTTGCTGTATGAAATGCCTTGTAAGCTAAAAAAGAAGACTTTCCTGAACAGAAAAAAGACGTGAGAAAGGCTGCATACAAGAGCAGTGACCACAGCAGTAGCTGGGCTGTTTATTATCGAATACTTCCAGGCACTTTACCTGCTTGTTCCTTCTTCTGTCCACTCTTGGCAACTGCTTGGTAGCTAGTGAGAGATGTTAATAGCAAGCGAGAGAGAGAAGTCTGGTCTAGGGTTTGGACACCGCGATCTCTGGAAGCCAGCACTGCCACCTGGGGGTGAGGTGAGGTTGGGGGAGGGGGGGCGCTTCTGGGGTCAGTGGCTCAGACAGTTTGCTGCTGGATAGGACAGGTAAGCCGGTCTCTTACGCAAAGTAACTCAGATTTGAGGCGTTGGTTCCCATGGAAGCAAGCCCATGTGTCCCCAGTAGTCAGGAAAGAGATCAGCACTTCACTCTACTTCCAACACCACAGTGAAAGCTGTTTCGCATCCCCACCTTACCCGGCCCCCTCCCCAGTGACAGGCCTGCATCCTAGAGAGATTGCGCTTCGCCTGAGCTGTACTTCCCGCCGAGATGGAGATAGGTGAGGTGGTTGGTACTTCAGGATTCCCCCCATAGACCTAGTAGTGGCTTAAGGGTCTATTTTACTGCGAACTGCTACAGCCTGTTTACTTCTGTCAGTCCGTAGGTGCAAAGCAGATGTTCCCTAAGGATGAAGCTCTAAGGAAGGAAACTTAGTTTTTCAGAACTTTATTATTAGTGACTCCGTACAAGCTTGATGTGTGCAAGAGGATACTTATATGGAAGACTTAATAGCTGTGAATGTGTGATGTCGTTTTTAAATTCAGTACAAGTTCCCGCCTCTCTAATTTGTCTTCAGATAGTTTAAAGCACAGATTTACTCTTCCCGTATTTCCTACTGATCCCCCCCCCCCTTTATTGTCCAGTTTCTAAAATGAAAGCTTGCCTGGTGTATATTTCCACCATAATGCCACAGTGTGGCGCTGTTTGACTTTAGTATAAAAACATCCTTCAAGTCAAGTCAGTTAATTTTGGAGGCAGATAGGATGTATACTTTTCCTAATTAGCGTGAATGTTTAATTTTTCCCCTTTGATAGCCTCAGTGTATTTAGTTAAAAGTCAGGCTGCTTGAAAATGAGGAAATTATAACTTGAACAAAGCCTACCGACTTTAGAGGACATCAGGCGTTCAGGAAGAAATGTGGACACTGGGTGGTTGTGTTTCCACAGGGTCTGGGCTCATAGGGCTGGCGTGCTGCTCTGCGTGCTTGGGCTTGAAGCCGGATTAGTGAGTGGTCATGAACAGTTCTGTGGGAAAATAGACTGGATACTTCCCAGATGGAGAGGGACCGTGGTTGTTTGGAAACATCGATTTCTCTGAAGAGAAATACAGGCCGTGGCACTCGCACATCACAGTGGCAGGCAGCACTGAGGAGTCGTAACTGTTAAATTCTCTGGTGTATTTGGAAAGCGCTAGCGAGGGGAGTGGACGAAGTGTGACTGGCGTTAAGGAACGCAGGCAGCTCGTCAGGGGCTCGGATTTTGGTGTTGGGCTTTGTGTGAGGTTAGGTCATAGCTGATGAGTTTTGACTTTGAGTTTGTGTCTGTGATTCTTGAGCACATTCTATATACTTATGAAATAAAAGATGAGCATTTCCGCCTACTAATAAAGATAAAAGCATAACTGTATTTGGAAAAATATGAACGGCATACCTGTCATTGTATATTGTTCTTTCCGTTATCAACTTGTTTTGATTTGCTGATGCTTCATTTGGGAACTATTGTAACTAATCCAAAATAAGGGTGGCCTGTTTTTTATTTTATTTTCTATCTTTAATTTTCAGTATGAGGATGCGTATTTTTGATTTTGTATTTTCTCACTTTCAATCGGCAGGTCGTGGTTCAATTTCAGAATTCTTTCATATCATGAAGAGAAAGTTTACCAACAAAGAATGGGAGACCATCAGAAGCTTTAAGGATGAATGGACTCAGCTGGATATGTTTTATAGGAATTGGGTATAATTCTTTCTAATTTTGAGAGTAAATACCTATGCTGATTATCTTTGCTAAAAGTTGGAGCAGAAGGTGTTGCTAATTTGAAGTAAATTCGTCACTAATTGGGAGTCGTATGTATCATGACATTTAAAAAGTTTCCGTCTATATTTAATGTTCAGCCAGATGGTTCATGATCTTAAAGCCAGATATTTATCACTATAACTTTTTACACGTACATGAGTCCTTATTTAACAAACACAGGATATTCACTCCACACCCCAAGGACATTGTGAAACACCTCCCGACTGCGTGTTCCTGGGAACCACACCAGGGCCAGAGGTGTTACTGCTGCAGGGATTGGAGGCATAGGAGGGGCCACTGACTTGCCTCGGGTCACACAGCTGCTTCGTCTCTGGGTGACTCTAGGGCTAAAAAAATTCCCAGCCATAACCAAGCATTGAATTTAAAAATCCATTTGTTCGGAGCTGTAATTTGGGGGTGGGAGAGACACCCAGCGGCCACGCTAGAGGATCATGTATGGTGTTAGGGTGGTCTGGGGTCACAGCTTGCCAAGTATCTTCACCCCTGTGCATGCAAAGCAAGTGCCTTAAGCTCTCTGGCACGCGGGACTCTTCGTTTCATGGCAGACATGACCGAATGTTCAAAGAAAGAAAGAAATCTCTCTCTCTCAGGCGCTGAAAGAAAGCTTCATCAAGGCCGTTGGTGTTGGACTGGGGTTCGAATTGCAGCGGCTTGAGTTTGATATATCCCCTTTAAACCTGGATATTGGCCAGGTTTATAAAGAAACACGCCTATTCCTTGATGGGGAAGAAGAAAAAGAGTGGACCTTTGAGGTAGGAAATTTAGCAAAATTGTTCCAACAATTTCCTTGCTTTATGCATGTGTGAAGTTAGCATGGGAATGCAGGTCCTGTATTTGGAAGGTGAAGCCAGGGATGGAAGGGAACTCAAAATATTGAAATTGTTACTTTATGCTGGTTTTTGTTTTGTTTTGTTGTGTTGTGTTTTTGCTTTTTGGGTCACACCCGGCGATGCACAGGGGTTACTCCTGGCTCTGCACTCAGGAATTACTCCTGGCGGTCCTCAGGGGACCATATGGGATGCTGGGAATCGAACCCGGATCGGCCACGTGCAAGGCAAATGCCCTATCCGCTGTGCTATTTCTCCAGCCCTTGAAATTGTCACTTTAAATATAGTCAGATTCCAAAGCTCTTCAGGTCTGTCAAGAAATTTCTTTCCTCATACTCTGGAACTCTGATCTGAGTGTCTTCCAAAAGAATTTGTGGTCGGAGTGTTTCTTTATGTTACACTTCCATTATCAGTATATTCAGGGTAAAGAAAAAGAGGAACACCATTTAACGAAAAAGGGTAATTATGTTTATAATAAATGTTGTGTTTGTTTTTAGCATAAAGGAAAATAACTTTGACCTATTAAATATTTTTGATAGTTAAATTTTTTCCTACTTAGCCATATTTTTCTTTATTCTTAATAATTTTTGTTTACTAATTTAGATATCTTAATGTGTGAAAATACGAAGAAAAGGATAATGGGGATAATGGATGATGAAAACTCCCTAAGTAATAGTATTCCTATTTTTAGTTTCCCATTTCAATCTGCAGGAAAATGGCCTTGGTGGTGGAGTGGCTTTTCACCTTTTTTTCACAAACAAATTTCGGTGGAATCTGTTTCCTTTGCCATAGTTGTTTTTGATTTTTTTGGTAACTGCCTCAATATCTGTATCATTCAAAAGTCCTCTCTTCGTATCATGTACGTAGGGAAAAAATAGAAAATTACATATTTATGTTTTAACTATAAATCTGTACCATATCTTTTGAGAAACTGCAGCATGTATTTAACCGCTTATAGAAAGTGTTGAATGTTGAAGTCTGGTTTTTATTTTTTATCTAAAATTGACATCAGTGGTGAACAGATTATTGTTTAGATGTTTCAGCTCTCTAGGTAGTACTGTGGTTGAGTGTATAATGTGAATTAGTAAGAGCCATTTGAGCGGTTTCTTATTTTAGAGTGAGGGTAGTGAGGCTATATTCTAAAACAGTAATTGCTTCACATTGTGAGGGAAAATGCTATGAAGGGTGCTGCTAGAGTCTTCGTGTACTTGATAACAGTGATAATAGGCGTAAGTGTTTTTAATATAAAGCTTACCAAAGTTGCTCATAGTTATGTGGGAATGTCTTCCTTTCGGGAATTACCTATTGCCGTGTTTGCAGTGAAGAGTCACTACAGATTTCCTTAGTGGTTTGGGCAAGGGAGGTTGGAGAAAATATGTCTTAAGTATCTGAGATTGTGGTTTTAAAATGTCCACAAAAATATCTCTTACGTATGTTTTCCTCATGTTTTTCAGGAAAGCAAAATAGACGACCACCATTTTGTGGCAGTTGCCCTTAGGAAGCCTGATGGATCTAAACAGGACGTAAGGTTTCACTGTCTCATTAACGCTTCGGTATTGATTAGTGTTGTTCTTTCTTGGTGAAAGAATCATTTGGTTTCTATGAAAGGCATAGTTATTATTAACAAGTGGTTTTTGTTATCAAATCCTTATCCTCTGGGGGCTTCCACAAGAAGCTTTTGAAGCATGTTCTCTTCTTCACATTCAAAACCACTTAAATGTTACAAGGAGAAAAGGCCGGTAAGCCACTGTCAGCAGAAACTCAGGATAAGCCACTCTTGAGGTACCGTGCCAGTTTTATTTGTTGGTGAATTGGACGGTGTCCTGTAAGTGTGTCCTAAGTTAAGGGCTGTGAGTAATGGTATCATCTTGCAGTTTGAACCCCTTCTCCCATTGACAGTAGTACACATCATTTCTACAGTTGCATTGTCAAGCCTGGTGAGACCTTGTGTTACGTTGTGAAATACAGTAGTCCCCACCCTTCCCCACAGTCAGGTTTACCCTGTGGGTAAATGGAGAATTCAAAACAAAATAAAAAAAAAAAGCCTAGTCAAGAGCTCAGCTTACTTAAGTGTGATTCTGAAAATGTATTTAAGAAATACTAAATCTTTAAAACTACACACATACATCCATGGTAGGGAATTAAGGTAAGAGAATGTAACATAATCATTACTACTAGGGAAAAAACAGTTCATTCCATGGCTCAAACCTTTGATAGATTAACCACGAGTTAGTATAATTCTCCATATTTGATCTTCCTTTAAGAAGGATGGTTTCTGACCCAGCTTATTGGTCCTTGTGTGCTGTTCTCAGCTTTGTGTTCCGCAGATACCTAATACTTCCCTAGAGGTTCATTGTTTTTATAGCATTTATATATGTGATAGTCTCTTTGCATTTCATTGGGCAGCGTGGACACAGCCAAGGACAGGCCTCTGGGTTCCAGGCCCAGGTCTCCCATTTGTATGACAAACAGGTCGGTCTTTCTGAACCTCAATTTTCCTCTCATTTTTATAAAATTGTCGTAGTGTTGACTTGTTGAAGCATCATGTGAAACCCTTGTAGTGACTTTATTAGAATACGTAGAATATCAAAGTCTGTCTGGGGGGAGTTCTGAACAGGGAAATATTTTGGTTTATATTACTGAATCATCCCCTAAGCAAATGTCATCTCTATTAAAATGATTCATTCATTTTAAAGTTTGGGGTTTCTTTTTTTATTATTTTGCCACCCTAATCTGGTGGTTCTGTGCTAGGACCCCTAGTGCAGAACTGCTGAGAATGGCGTTGAGGACCACCAGGGCTATACCTGGCAATACTGGGGGGCCGTTCCCCAGCTCTGCCCAGGACTCCCTCCTGATGTGCTAAGGGGACCGTAGACATTGGGCACTGGGTTTGGGCCTCCACAGGCCCTCAACCTCCTGAGCTTGCAGTGAGACCCTGGGGGTTCATTAACTCACGTTTTGGTTATATTTTCAACAAATATCACAGGTTGGGCTGGAGCGATAGCACAGCGGTAGGGCGTTTGCCTTGCACGCAGCCAACATGGCCGACCCGAGTTCGATTCCTCCGCCCCTCTCGGAGAGCCCGGCAAGCTACCGAGAGTATCTCGCCTGCACGGCAGAACCTGGCAAGCTCCCCGTGATGTATTCGATATGCCAAACACAGTAACAACAAAGTCTCCAATGGAGACATTACTGGGCCCACTCGAGCAAATCAATGAACAACACGAGGACAGTGATTGTCAGTGATTGAGTCCCTCCATGTTTGCAAGGTCCCACATGATCAGTCTCTTCTTTCACGGCAGAGCCTGGCAAGCTACCCGTGACGTATTCGATATGCCAAACACAGTAACAAGTCTCATGATGGAGACGTTACTGGGCCCGCTCGAGCAAATCGATGAACAACGGGAGGACCGTAATCACAGGTTAATCAGGTGTAAATTTCTTTTCGGGGAGGGGGTGATTTGTTTAACTATTACTGAAATATCCTAATGAAATTGAGGTGACTGATAAGTATCATGACAATAAAATCATCCTTTTTTTTTTTTATCTCCCCAATTTAGGCTCCATCTCATTCTAAGTCAGCCCAGAGAGAGTTTACTGTTCTCACTTTCAGTGACCTGATATCCTCTGCCGTCCCCATGACCCCTGAAGATCCATCCTTCTGGGACTGTTTTTGCTTCACAGAGGAAATTCCAATACGAAATGGTACAAAGTCATGATATGATCCCTGAGTAACACAGGGAAATGCACACTGTTTATAATCTTTTGTATTCACTAAAAAATACGTTCCTCATAGTTTCAAATTTTATTTCACAAAACAGTTTAAAAACAACTTTTCCTACTGAAAAAGCAGACTCCCAGATCAAGATAGCTCACGGCGTCCGTGCTTACCTCTTCCTCCCCAAATCATGTTGGATTGACGGAAGAAACAGAAAATGTGACAGAATATCAGGGTGATGCAAGCAGATTGTAGAGAAACAGAAACTACAGACATGCAAAAAGAAAACTCTTAAGTTCATATCTCTCAGAGGTAACTATTCCTAAAACTCCAGTATCTTTCAAGACATTTTTCTTGGTAAATGAATCTGTATTAATATTCTTGTTTTGTTTTTTTTTTAAACGGGAACATACGTGATTTTGTTGCAATTCTTTTTTTTTCCTTAATGTCTTACTGTTGTTTATAAATATACTTCTGTGTTTAATTTTTCTAGTGGCTTTGACATGTTCTGTTTTCTGACTAACAATACCATTTAGGATGCTTTTGACCAGAGATAACAAAGAATATTACTTGACTATAGTAACCAGAAATATTTATTAGGTCATGTAACACACAGTCGAGAATTATCATTAGACATTTTTTTTAAAATTTTTTGCCTCAGCCTTTTTTTTTTATTTTGCCTTATTTGTTCTCTTCATGGTCCTAAGAACTGATAATAAGTTCACAGAGTCACTTCACAAAAGGCCACAAAGACCTTTTCTCCCCTTGTAGCTCAGTTTCACCATCAGTGAGTTTTCTCAGGAGCTCTGGGAGAGATCCCTATCAGTATCCATGGCCTCGGTCTGCTCACTGAACTCCTGCCACCAGACTCAGCGGCCGGCCTACAGGCGCTTGTGCCGGCCAGCTTGGCTTCAAGTTTATCTTCCCTGTGCTGATCGGACGTGTTGATTTTATACTGGGCGATGTCTGACAGTGTGCCAGTTCATTGGGGAGGAGGTCACTGCTCTGAGGCCAGCGATGGGCAGCTGCCAGTGGGAAGGGTACTGAGTTGTCAGCTCACTAGACACGGCAGCTTACTCTACCAGGTTTATCCCAGAGTTAGACATTTGAGGTTGAAACAGCGGTTTCCTCTAATCCACCTCTCAGGAAGAGAACCCCTCGGGCCACTTGGTGAGTATGAACCCTTGGAAATGGGTAGGATGGTTTACTTTTTGGTAATGAAGAACAAGTTGGAGGCACAGTCTCAGTGTTTGGTCCAGAATCTGATTAAGGTGATCTGGTGAACTGGGAGCGCTGGGCATGTGTTGGTACCCTGGGGTGCAGAAGCCCACGCCCACCAGCACCAGTGTTTGTGGATGTGGAATGGACTCATGAGGAAGCTGCTGGGGTGGGGGGAGGAGGGTGGCATGTGCCCGCCCTCAGCCTTGCCTTAGCCATTGTGTTGATGCACAGACGCACTGCAGACAATGGGAAAGAGACTCTGACCGTGCTTTGAGGTAGGTGCACGCTTAATTATGTCCTGGAAAAATGTTTTTTAGAAGGGGAAAGCTTGGCACAAAGGCCTCAAAAACATCTTTAGAATTTTGACAAATACTGGGAAATTACTTTCCAAAATGCCTGTTCAGTTTACACTTTCAGTTCACGTTTTGTGTAAGCACCCATCCATCACCACTCATGTCTTTAGTCCCTGGTCAACTGCATTTTTTTTCTTTTTGATTGAATCTTTGTTCGAAGAAGTGAAACATTTTTTAACTTGTGTTTTATGAGAAATGAGGTTGATCTATCAGTGTTGTTGCTGTTGTTTGTGCTTTTTTTTTTTACGGACTGCCTGTTTTGTCTTTTTCTGTTTTTATTTTAGTAAATAAGACTTAATTTAATGTGGGAATATAATATATACGATGCCAAGACCATCATATTGATGACATAATTTTATATGGTCTAGTGCATGTCTGGGGAATTTGCATCTTGTTAATTACCAAGAAGTAAAGTAATTGTTTCTATTACTAAAATTAAAAGCTGTGTGTAAATTGTATAAAATTACTTTGCTTAGTGAAATATTTGGAATGTTTTCTAATTTTTCATTTTATTAAGCATGCCCAAGTATTTCAAGTAGAGTAAATATGTGGAAAGTGTTCTTCCTAGCATGAATGTAATGATAAAATCTTGTCATCTGTATTCTCACTACAATAATAAAATGACTAACTGGAAATAACTGTGAGCCAGGAGCTTTGTTGCATTTTTTGTATTTTCTGTTTTTAATTTACACATAAATCTATTGTCAGAGTTGCAGAGATCCACAATTATTTCCTGTCCTCACTTTTCAACTCTTTTTTCTTTTATTACTACCATATACCCAAAATAAAGTGTTTATTTTTTCACTTCATACACTATTTCGGTAATATTTATTGCAGAACTTTGCTTTTTTGCTTCTCAACCATTGTACATATCTTTTCAACCTTTTCTTCAACATTATTGTAATTCGGTATTAACGTTTTGTTTTGTGGCCACAGCCCACAGTGCTGTTGGCATGTGAGATAAGCACCCACCTGTGTGTCAGCTCCCGGCCACTACTCTTAAGCTGCTGTGCACAGCTCTGCGCCTCATGCCCGCTTCTGTCTGTGGGGGCCACTGCACCTGTGTCAGGGCATTTGTTCCTGGTGGTGCTCGGGGCAGGTGAGGTGCCTCCCCCTTGCCCTGGCCAGCCCCACGTTGCCCTTTTATGTCTGAGTGAATTGATTCTGTCTGTGAGGGTCTCCTGCTCTCCCTCAGCCCTAGACTCAGTGGCTTCTCCAGAGGGTTCTTCCACTGGCAGCTTGCCCGGAGCACCGTCCGGTCTAGCTGGAACTTGCCTTGCCAGACATCCTTGGGGTCGGGTGTCAAGAGAAGCACGTGACCAGGCCACTGGCCTCCCCAGGACAACTGGAGGATGTGGTGCCTTGGTCACCGGCCACTGACTTGCAGCAGGTACAAGTAACCCCTTAGTGTCTGCATCTTCCTGCTGCAGCCCACTGCCCTCCTGCCCCCATGGGGAGGTTACGGGCCCTTGGGGACTCCCTCTTGCCCTCCACCGACCAGGTTCTCTACAGTCCCGGACCTGACCTGTGCCTGGCCTTTGCTCTGCCACCAACTTGCACTCATGCCTGGGCTTGTGCAGTTACGCCCGGTGGGAGCTGCCGAGGCAGCACAGCGAGTACGGGTGAGGACTGCCCTTGAGCCCTGTCGTGTTGCCCCTGGAATCCTCCCGCCCTGGGTGGCTACCTGCAGAGTCCCCGCACCTCCGCACTCCCCATGCCTTCATCACTGCGGAGCCTTGTGGTGCCCACAGGGCTCTTGGGCCTGGGCCTGTCCCCTCCCTGCCTCAATCCCACCCCTCGTTCCTGCGGGGCCAAATGCACGTTTCACTTGGCCTCTGCTTTGCCTCTGGAACGTTCTTCCTGCGCCCCGGATTGCCTGCGTTTCGCCTTGGGCCATCCGCATCCTGAGCACCTCCACGTCTCGTCCTGCAGTTGATCCCCTGCCACAGGCCCTGCGTGCCCTCTGCACATCTCTCTTGGACAGGGTCTGCCCCAACAGCCCTGGGCCGGGGACCCAAACATGCATCCTCTCAGACTGGGAAGTCTGAGCTCAGGGTGTCTGTAGAATCGCGTGCTGTGGACGCTGCCATCAAGCCACTCAGGTGCACTGTGTCCGAATCTCCCCTGGGCGGAGGCCTCGAGGGCACTCAGGTGAGTTCAGGTGTGGGTGGACTCTGCCCACGTTCTGCAGGAGGGCGGTGCTGGTTCTTACCCTTGCTAATAGTGAAGTGATCATTTGCATCGCTTCTGCCTCCTTTCCCCTTGGAGACTGGCAGCTCCAGGCATTCAGGCCCAGGCATCTCTCCTGGCAGGTGGGGGACCATATGGGACCCTGAGAATTTAACCTGGGTCCACACTTGCCAGGAGGTGTCTTCCCTGCTGTAGAATCACTCTGGCCCCTCACACTTGCATGCTTTTGTGATTCATTCTTATTTTTAATTGAATCACATGCACAAATAGAAAGTTGTTCATGATTGAGTTCAGTTAGAAAACAATGCCAACACCTGTCCCTTCATCAGTGTATATTTCCCACCACCAGTGGCCCCATTTCTCTCCTCCTCCACGCCCACACACACACACCCTATCTACCCCCCCCCCACACACACACACACCCTCTATGGCAGTCACTTTTTTTGTTCTTTTTTCCTTTAGGCACTGTGGTTTACAATATTGTTACTGAAAGGGTATCTTGCATATCACTTTGCTTTCTTTTTCAACCCCCAGTTCTTGTCCTGGGTGATCATTTCCTACTACTTTTTATCTTTTTTTTTTTTTAATTGGAGGGTGGGGGGCTCACTTGATGATGCTCAGGGCTTACTCCAGACTGCTCAGGGATCAACTCTGACGGGGCTCAGGGAACGGGATGGGGTGCCAGATTGAACCTGGGTTGGCTGACAACATGCAAGGCAAATGCCCTACCCACTGAACTATTGCTCCAGGCCCATTTCTAATACATTTTTAAGGGATAACTGAACACCATACATGAATCATACAAAGTATGATTACTCTCAATTATGTAGCATCAGTGATGCAGAGTAGATCAATTTTCTGGGGTGATGGTGTTAGTAAATATCTTTTTCTCTATTGCTTTTTGGGTCGCACCTGGCGATGCTTAGGGGTTACTCCTGGTTTTGCACTCAGGATCACTCCTGGCTGTGCTTGGGTGACCATATGGGATGCTGGGAATTGAACCCAGGTTGGCCACGTGCAAGGAAAGTGCACTACCTGCTGTGCTATCACTCCATGGTCATGGTCACAGTCCTCCCGTTGTTCATCGATTTCCTTGAGCGGGCCCAGTAACGTCTCCATCGTGAGACTTGTTACTGTGTTTGGCATATTGAATACATCACGGGGAGCTTGCCAGGCTTTGCCGTGTGGGTGAGGCACTCTCGGTAGCTTGCCGGGCTCTCCAAGAGGGGCAGAGGAATTGAACCCAGCTCGGCCGGGACCGCTGGAATGGATAGCACAGCGGCCCCCTATCACTGTGCTATCGCTCCGGCCCATAGTAAATATCTTTTTTTTTTTTTTTTGCTTTTTGCGTCACACCCAGCGATACTCAGGGGTTACTCGTGGCTCATGCACTCAGGAATTACTCCTGGCAGTGCTCGCGAGACCATATGGGATGCTGGGAATCGAACCCGGGTCAGCCATGATGACTGCGTGCAAGACAAACGCCCTATCCGCTGTGCTATCACTCCAGCCCCCCGTAAATATCATTTTTAAATTGACACTATTTTGGTTCTGAAAGACTCAAAAGTTCACTTATTTATTCTGCCACTGTTGTTAAAATGTATAATGGTGGCACCAGAGAGATAGTATCTGGGTTAAGGCGCTTGTCTTATAGCAGACCAAAGTTCAGTCCCTGGCTGGCATCACATGTGGTCCCCAGGACCCCACCAGGAATAATCTCTGAGCACCTCCAGGAGTGGCTCCAAAGCAAAAAAGAAAGATGAATAGTAGAAAACCATGCTGCTGTTGTCTCACAGGTGTTACGGTCACCTTAGAAGCAGGTCTCAGCGCAGGAAGTGGGATTACATTACAATCTGAATAATCATACCTGTAGGTTGAATTTGAACCTCATATCTTTTTTTTTAATCACTGCAGTTTCTGTTATAGTCTAATTTTACTCTCTTTTTTTTAACATTTTATTTTATTATTTATTTTGTTTTTTGGGGTCACACACCCAGCGGTGCTCAGGGGTTACTCCTGGCTCTGCACTCAGAAATTACTCCTGACAGTGTTCAGGGGACCCTATGGATTGCCAGGATTAGGGCAAGGCAAATGCTGTACTATTGCTCTGACCCCCTATTAAAAAGTGTCAGAGTAATACAATAAAGTAATCACATTAAGGCAATGGCTGCTATTCACAATGCAGAGGAAAAGGTCATTGCTTTTGTTAGAAAAGCTAAATTAGTGTTCCTGATGACATGCCAATGTTGCTAAAAAAAACTATGGTAGACCCTATTTACACTTAGGAAAGCATTTTTCTCTCTTTGGGTATATGGAGCTGATTGTTGCAACTAGACATTGCCATTTTTTTCTTTTTTTCAGACCATGTTCTCTAATAGCTTTTTTTGGAAACATATTCTGTGTTTGCATTGGTAAGTGGCCACAAGCCTGAGTTCAACTGCTAGCTGAGATACACAGAGACAGGACAGATATTTCATGGTGTTATTCACACAAACAGACTCAGAGCTGCGGACACTCATAGGAGGAATTCAGCGCTGAGGGTTTGCCAGCCTAAGAGTCTTGGAACCCCAATCGATTGCCATCTGGGAGAGGTCTTTTTGTCCTATCCCCTGTACCTGGGTGCATGCTTGTGGGTCTGGGTGCCCCCTGCCATGTGCATTCTCATGTCCTTGAGCAAGCATGGAGGGCAGGGTGTGTCCAGAGGTGAAACAGCAGTTAACACATCTTGTGTGATGTACTTGAATCATCCTTGTTATCTGTGGTCCAATGTCTGGGCATTTACATCCATGGCCTTGGGGACTGGCATGTTTTTCTTACTAGGTTGTAAACTCATGACTGAGGCACAGGATAGAGTCTGGCTTTCCGAACCGGAGTCGCTCTGGTCCTGTTCCTTTCAGCATTGAGGTTGGCTATTCTACCCTGACCCTTGCTGCCATCAAATCTCCAGAACAGCTCTCAATCTCAGGGTTCTAGTTCTGTTGGGCGTTTCCAGACCCTTGCTCTAATTCGCTGCTGAAGAGATGACTAGTGGGTGATTGCTTTTTTTTTTTAATTGGCATCAGGAGGAGGCATAGAGGTGAGTCTCCAGCCGAATGGGAAGGAAGCTGCTTCTTGGTTTGCTGTTTCTGTGTGTGTGGTGCTCAGGTGAAAGGGACCAGTTTGGTGCGAGCCTCTGGCCTCACCTGGCTGAGATTTGGAACCCTGAGAGAGTAGGGCAGGGAGAGGTTGGTGAAAGAGCAGACTGGTAAGTGGTGGTTTAAGTAAGAAAGGAAATTTAGTCCTGGGCCTCACACTGTGCAACTGCAGGTTGACTCAGTGCCACGTATGAGTTTAGAGTGAGGTCTTCACTGGCTTCTCTCCTGTATACCGTCCGGGGGTCTCATCACACACTGCTCTTAAGGGGGTCCATGACAATGTATTGGTCAATAATGGATTACACAGCACATTGGTC